CGGTGGTATGATGTTGAACCGTATTACTGGGACTGTCCAAGCTGTAAGAAGGAATATCAGAAGAGCAATCCTCACCACACCAAGATATCTGGCCAATGCAGATTCGCCGAAAAATGGAAGCTGCCAGATAACTTTGGCCAGCCGCGCCCGGCGGGGCAAGCCGCTCCTGCGGCGCCAGCCGCGGAAGCGGCTCCAGCCGCAGAAGCGGCGCCAGCCGCAAAAGCGGCGCCGGCCGCGAGAGCGCGCATACGCGCGCCTAGGCCGCCACGGCCTGGTGAGGGCGATCCAACCGCAGGCGCCAGCAGCCATGACATCACCAGAGCCGACGGGGCTAATGGTGGCAACAGTGGCGCTGGCAGCTCTGACGATCACCGTAGACTGCCACAAGTTGCAGCAAGGCGCGGACGCATGGAGGGAGGAGATCCTCCACCACCGCCGCAGCCTCAAGCAGAGCCGAGGCCAAGGCCAAGGCTCCCTGATTGGACTCGTTTCGACGTTCAGCTCAGCCTCCAAAACCTGCGCAGCTTCGACCCAGCTGTAGTGCAGCGAGAACTCCGCAAACTCCACCTGAGATGGTTTCATGCCAAGGAGCCAAAAATGCGGATGATTCTAACCAAGGTTGGTCTGGGTGAAACCCGTTTGAGTCTGATCAAAGGCATTTGTGACTCGTGTAGAGAATGTCGAGCCTGGGACAAACCAGGCAACACGGTGATGCCTTCTGTGTCACTGCCAGGACGTTTCAACGAGGAAGTCGAATGTGATCTTTTCTTTTACAAACAGGAACATATTGTTTTTCACATCATCGACCGTTGTATTCGCTGGGCAGCTGGCACAGAGATTCCTGATAAAGCCATGCATACTGTTCTCGATGCCTATCATACGACTTGGATGCAACATGGCCCTGCTAAAATCTTATACTCCGATGGGGAAGGAGCACTGAATAATGATACAGCAAAGGCCATCCTTAAGGCTAAGGGAACAGAGCTTCGTATTCGAGCGCGTGGCCAACACGCTACAACTATCGAAGCTAGGAACGGCATCCTGCGACACCTCTTACACGTGATGGGAGAAGAATTGAATAGATTAAATATTCCTCTCAATTTCACTCGTCTCTTACATGAAGCCTTGTTTGCCAGCAACGCATTTACCTTCTACAATGAAGTGTCTCCGTACAATGCGCTGTATGGCAGACAACCAGCTATGCTTCCCGATTTCCCTGTCTTGGATCATGATCAGTCCGCTGAATCATCAGATCACTCAAGGGAGGAAACAATCAGGAGGGTTAGTCTGGAGGCAATCACGCAGGCCACTGCGGTTGCCAAGACGAACAGGGCTCTCCGTACGAAGACTACTGCTACGGGTGAATTTCACTACAAAGAGGGAGATCTCGTGGACTATCATCGCCCGACCACCACGAAAGACGACTGGGGTGGATGGAGTGGTCCATACCCGGTCATCCGCAACGAACCTGACCGAGGCCAGGTCATCGTGAAGGTCGGCAGTCGCGAGGTGCGAGTACAGTATCCTGACACACGACACACGCTGTACATCGAAGCACTTATGGTCCGCGAGATAGGATCGGACAATACGGCCCTTCGGACAGTATTGGCCTTTATTGCCGGTCTGCCAGCGGGGAAACCCGCCATGACTTTCGGATATCTACCAGCGAAACAGGGTCGGCTGCAGATGACTGCTGCGAGCCGACTTTCGCCTAAGGTGCACTTGGCTCTTCAGTACCTCATACGCAACTACTTTCGTATTGAAAACGTTGTTGCTGTACGACTTGCCAAGAGCCTGACGAAGTTGCCTGCTGCACCCTATGCAGACAGCTGTACACTAGTGCACTATGATAATGATGTGACCCCTGGTTTTCATTACTATGAAGCTGATGGCACTGCCTTGAACATCTATGACATCACAGGATCTACACACTCACGCATCATCCAGTGTCTTAAATCCAGGAAGCCGTCTGCTGGATTTGACCAAGACCTCACTAAGTTTGAGGAACTCGCTGATGGTCCACCACCAAGCGAATCACCTCCAGCAGCTGCTCCTGAGGAGCCTCCTACGGATAACGATGGTCGGCTCCCGACCATCATAGAGGAAACAGAAGAAGATCTGGATGCTTTTGTCTTGAAGTCGTGGTATGCTGAACTGATGGATGACAGAACACTCCTTGAAGCTGACACAGAGGAAGTCATGCATACAGTTCCCACATACATGACAGACACACAGTGTGTGTTAGTCTCTACGACCTGTGAAGATGTGCAAGGCCACTTGCCGGAGCGGGGTCACCCGCCAGGATACGACATGGACACTTCTTACTACGTTCCTTTATGCTCCACGGATCCGGATAGCAAATATGATCTGGACTCCGATGAGCACGGGAAGTACATCGAGCTCTGCTTCACTGCAGACATGTCCAAAGTCGTCCTGTCCGAGCAGCAACACCGATTGTTGGATGACAGCAGCGTCACAACTATGCGAGTATACGTTAGTGCTGCCTCCAAACGTGCCGTGGTCGTCAAGGAAGACGATCTACTCACGAAGGCCGACATCCAAGCAAATCCGGTCAAAGTTTCCAAAGCCCTCTACACAGAATTGAAGACTTGGCTTGACAACAAATGCTTCCAGATGACTGACTTAAGCAAGGCGTCTAACATCATGACGTCACGCTACGTATACAAATGGAAGTTTGTCAAGAACGAAAAGGGCGAAATGGAAAGGACGATCAGGTTACGCTTGGTACTCCGTGGCTTCATGGACCTTGAAGCCTTTGATGTCGAAACCTTCTCTGGCACGGCAAGGAGGTCAAGCCAGAGACTGCTCGCAAGTTCTGCTGCATGCAACAAAGCTTGGATCATCGCTTCCCTGGACATCAACATGGCTTTCTTGAAGGGACTGACCTATGGCGAGCTCGCCGCGGCAACGGGCGAGAAAGAGCGTGTGGTGTGCTTCACACTACCACCTGGGTCAGCAGCTGTCCTTCGCACACTGCCAGGCTTTGAGTCATATGACGAATCAAAGCATTGTCTCCGGTGTCTGAAACCGGGGACGGGCACGAAGGATGCTCCCAGGGCATTCTCGCTGAAGCTCAGGTCCATCACTAGGAGCTTTGGGCTACAGCCTACTTCATACGACGAAGAGTTCGAGATGAGCCCAAACCTCTTGACAGCCAAGCACGTTGATGACATCAATATGACTGGGAAGGAAGAGGCTATTGACAAGTATGTCAAGTGTGTTGAAGATACGTTTGGGAAGTGCAAACTGAACAAGCACACATACACAAACTGTGCCGTTCGGTACAACAAGACCGATGATGGGAGCGTCACTCTTGATCAGGACGAATACATCAAACAGCTTCGTCCTATCACACATCCAGAACTCACAGGAGCTGATCCTGAGAGCAAAGCGACAAAGACGATTTCTGATATGTTCGTCAGTCTTCGTGGCGCTCTAGCCTATGCGTTGATCACGCAGGTATGGCTGATGGTCTATGTTGTCTCACTACAACGTATCCAGGAACCGACAAACATCCAGGTACGACGACTAAACGCGGTTACCAGAAAGCTACAGGCAGGTCCGAAGAAGATCGTGTATCAAGCTATGACCCCAACAGGAGAAGTCGACCTGCATAGCGATTCTGGCTATCGTCGTCTCAACGGAGATGAAGACGACGAAGTCAAAGGCTATGGTATCCGCGGGGCTAACCTGCTGAGGCGTGGCCACACGCAAGCGGGGAAACCCGTCGTGCACCTGGTGGACGCATACTGCAAGTCTCATCGACTGCAGGTGCGTTCGAGCTACTCTGCGGAAACACTGGCAGCAGCCCACAACTTGGAAGACTGCTACCCGACCATTGTAACGCTCCACGAGCTACACTCGGGACCATTGACCCCCACACAGTTAAAGAACATATTGGAAATGGGTGGTCTATGTATCAAAGTCACTCTGACTATTGATGCCGAGTCTGTCTTCAAGTCTTTGTCTAGCAAAGATCTGAAGAAGCCCACAGAATGTACTCTGCTTGGGCACATCAGCTGGATCCGCCAGATGATGGAACGCGGAATCGTGGAAAGCGTCCAATGGTGTGACACGCGGGATATGACTGCCGATGGTCATACCAAAGGTAGTATTGACCGCGCGTTACTCCTACAAGTAATGGCCGGCCAGCAATCCTTCAAGCACGAGCTGAAGAAACATACACCGTATAGGGCGGGCAGGTCGTCTGAGGACGGCCCTGCCTCCCGAGCCAGCGGGGAAACCCGCGGGCAGGTGCGCTTTAGTAGCGAGGAAACTCGCCGGTAGCGAGGCTACTCGCGCGCCCCTTCCTTGTAGGCAGCCGCTGCTGCTTAGCACTGTTTTTCCGCATAGTGTAGAAGTGCGGTACCTGCTCGTCTCCTCCCCCTCCGACTTTAAACGGAGAAGGTTAAAGGCGAGGTATAAATCGAGCATGTACCGCTGCCGTGCCTGGCTCAAGCCGGGCCCGGCCAGATATATGACTGTGCCTCACTGAGGCGCACGACTTGCATCAGAGATCGGAAAATACCTTTTCCATTGACGATGCCCATCCTATCCTTTACTCCAGATCCCATGCTTCGTCTCGCTCTCTTGCTCATGCGATATGAGCCAAAGCCTGGGATATGGCAGCGCTTAAAGCGTAACACATACCTAAGCTTACCAGCTTGTTTTCGACTCAGGGTACTCCCCCTGGCTGGCCCCGCCGGCCCGGACGGCCAAATCGACCTGACAGGGCTCCCGGGGGAGCGGTTCGGAAATGGAAGAGCATCTCACACGCAGAGGAGCCCCAAGGGGTCGGCGGGTTTTGGGATTTCTCCCCCGCTCCATCTGGCTTAGTTCAGCTTCAGGGCCACAACTCTGGCCGAACAGCGCCCTTCGTAGCTTTCACGAAGACCTTCCAGAAGATGATTCCCGTTGCTGCTGGGGTGGAGGAAAACCCGCGCGACGGGACGCCGGAGGGTGGAAGCTCCCGAGGGGAGGAGCCGCGGACCCGTCCGCGGTCCTGATGGTGCCTCCGCCCGGCGCTGCCCGCGCTTTCCCTCTGCGAGGCTCCTCTTCTTGCGGCGGCTGGGGTGCCCTGGCCTCTCAAGCGGGGTTGGGTGCACGGGGTCGGAGGATCGCGCCTCACCGCCGATGCATCGGCGATGCGGCTGGATGTTGAGCCCGACTTTCTCCCCGCGGACATCGCCAATGCATCGCCGACGTCGCCGACGACTCGCCGATGCGTCGGCGATGCGGCGCGATTCCGGCCCCATCTTCTCGGACCCATGTTGGAGGCCTCCAGGGTGGCAGCGTTCGATGGCAGTACTCCTTCTCCCTCGTCTTCTCGCAGTTTACCAGTCTTTGCCCCCTCGTCCCCTGATCCCCTCGTAGTTCGCAGCGACCCCAAATCTTGTTTTTGATAGTTGAACCCGTATCGTCCGTAATGGGGGGGTCGCCCCCCTTGGCAGCGGCGGGACGGGACGCACGGGGGGGAGGGAGGGCAGCGGCCCCCCTCCCACAGGTGCGGCGCCGCGCTCGCAGGCAATGGCGTGGTGCTGACGGGCACCTGAGGGCCTGCAGACGCCTCCAGAGGCCTCGGGAGACCTCCGGAGGCCTCGGGAGACTTCTGAAGACCTTCAGAGGCGTCGTTGTCGTCGTCGTTCTCGTCGTTGTCGTCGTCGTCGTCGTCCTCGTCGTCGTCGTCTGGAGCCCGCTCCCTCCCCCCCCCCAAAAGGCCCAACCGCGATACCGTTGCCTCCCTCACGGGGGCCGGAGGCCCTCTTCGGACGGGGCGAGGACGAGGATGAGTCCGTTCTCGGAGCCTTCTGGAGCGCTCTCGGAGCGTTTCGGAGAGCTCTCTGAGGGAGCCGCGGCGCACAGCCTCGTTGCGGGAGCCTTGAGACGGGGGTCGATGCAGAGGGGGGTCAGCCAGGGCACCGGATCCTGCAGGATCCTGCGAAGACCCCCTCTGGCTGACCCGGGTTAGCGAGCCGCTCGTGGCCGCGAGGCGGCCGCGCCTGTTGGCTGACCCGGGTTTGCGAAGACCTGCGTTGCAGGTTGTTTCTCCTGCATTGCAGTTTTTGGTTTCCTGCTGACCCGGGTCTGGATTGACCCGGGTCAGAAGATCCCCGATCGTTTTTTTTCAGTCGAATTGATTCGCGGGTCGTTGAAAGTAGGTATGCGGGAACTCCCAGATCCCAATCTACTTTAGGCGCCTTGGGTTTCGATGGTTTTTCTATCGAAAGCGTGACGTTGCCACACCACAGATCAATGGATGTCCTGGGGTCTCAGGGTGGGGTTTCTGGTGGACGGTTTCTTGCGGACTGCCCTCCACTGTACCTACTTCCTCCAACCGACGCGTACCCTCGTCCTGGTTTCGTCTCACGTCACGGTGGGGAGTGCAAAAAACAATCTACAGAGTAGCGACGGAAGGTTTCTGTCCATTTCTTGCTCCAGGAGGCCCTCTTGCCAGGCCCCAGGGCCGCTCAAAGAGTCAGCCATGCCACCATGAAGCATCCCCTCCCTGGGGAAAAAGGGCCGTCGTCGTCGTCGCCGTCGTCGTTGTTGGGCGGCGGGTGTCGCGGAGGGATAATTATTCTCCACAGTGAGTGGGGCCCCAGTCTGTCAATATGGGCGTCGAACAGGTTTTTAGTTTCCACGATTGGGGGGAAGACTTCTCGCGGTCAGTCGGCTGCCTGTGGCTTGGGCCCTCCCTGCCCCGCCCCCGGGCCTCGCTCGGGCCTCTCCTCCCGTTCGCTCCCACGGGGGGGGTGGTCGTCCAGAGGAGGAAAGGTACCCACAGTTCTGATGTTCCAACTTATTTTAGCCTTGATCACAACAAATATTTTCGAGCACCAAAAGGACCGAAACTCGAGGGTGTTCACGTGTCTGGCCCTGGGAGACACTCGTTTCGACACAATTTCGGCACTGTTTCGGCACTTCCCTGGGTGCTCGAAATTATTTCTAGGATGTGGTCCTTAAGTACGATGGCAGCAACATAAACCCTCACCTCTACCCTCCCCTCGTTTTTTTATACCTTTTTGGGCCTCCTGGGCCTCCGTCGTCGCCACCGCTGGGCTCGCTTCGAACTCCTTGTCAGAACGCATTCCAGGAGAGGTCTCTGGGGAGTAGCGGTATCGGTACCTTTGAGTGTCCCCAGTCGTGAAGACAGCGGGGGGGAGATGGTGGAAAAGGGGGGGAGATTTGGGAGGAGGCGGGGAGGGGGAAGGGGGGTGAGGGAGGAGGCGGGGTGTGTGAGTTGTCGTGTCGCCTGTTTGAACTGGCGGACGTTGATGCTGCCGAGGTGATTGAGGCCGGACCGCTGCCTGATGCGCGGCTGCCGCGCAGGTGTGGGGCTCGAGCATGGGCCTTTCCTGCGGTGGGGAGCGACGTGGTGCGTGTGGCTCTTTTTTTTTCAAGCTCTGGTCCGAGGTGCCCTCTCTCTCCGCGGCTGCCCTCCCTGACTGCTGCAGGTGTGCAACAGCGCAGGCCGCCTAATCAGGCCTGCCCGCGCAAAAAGCGGACGCCCGCGCTGCCACGGAGCAGTGGCTCTGCTTGTCCTTGGGCCTTCCGTCGGCGGCGGGCGAGGGGGGGGAAGTGAGAAGGGGCGGGCCTACTCAGAAGGCCTTCCTCCTCCTCCTCCTCCTCCTCCTCCTCCTCCTCCTCCTCCTCCTCTCCTCCTCCCCTCCTCCTCCTCCTCCTCCTCCTCCTCCTCCTCCTCCTCCTCCTCCTCCTCCTCCTCCTCCTCCTCCTCCTCCCTGCCCTCTGCGGATTCTTCTGAGCCTTTCCCCGAAGGCGCAGGAGACTGCTCAGAAGGCGCGAGGGCTTCTGAGAAGTCCCGCCGCCATTCTGAGAGGGCCTTCTCCTCCTCACTTCCCCCCCCTCCCTCGCCGCCGATTCAGGGTGGTGGCTGCGCCGCGTGGCGCTAGCGCGGATCCTTGCGCCCGCCCTCAAGGCAAAAGCTGCATGAACATTGGCTCTCCCAGAGCTCGAGTTTCCCAGAGCGCCTCAGGGCAAAGCTACTCCGCGCGGATTTCTCAGAGCGCGGCCCCTGGTGCGCTGCGCCAAGCGCCGATCGATGAAATTCGCGCGAAGCTGCAACATTTTACACGCCGGTCGTTGAAACTAGATGTTTTTTCGGATTTCCAGATCCCAATCTACTTCAAACGCCTCCCTACGTCAAGAACCGATACGCTTTTGCTGTGTTGTGTTATTGTCTGGGAGGGCCTGAACTCATTCTATGTTATTATTCGCCTTCCTACTTCATGTTTTTACTTCTTCCGCCCGGCGTGTATGTATGCCGCTCATTGTTACCCTAGCCGCGTGGCGCCGGCGCGGGTCCTTTCGCCCGTTCGCCCGGCCGTTTTGCTGCGATTGCGTCTTGAGGTCACGGCAAGTGCGGAACCTGTCCCGGCTGGCGGCCAGACGATTTGCGCGATGCGGGTCGGGATTCGGGCCCGCGGAAAAAAGAGTCGACCTCCAAAGAGATGACAAGATTGTTGGGTGCACGGTTCGCGCAATCGGTCGTTTATTGGCGACTACAAACGGTATGGTTACGCCGGGGTGTGGTTTGCTTGCACGCCACACCCTTCGGAGTCGCCGAGCTTACTCTGGCCCGAATTTATCTTCGTCCTGGCTTCGCAGGGCGAGTGGCCGCGGCCTGCGTCGCCCTGGGCGCGCCGCGCGGGCAACGAGGGCGCTCGCGCGGCCCGCGCTGCCGCGGCTGGGGCCCCCTGGTCGCCGCGGCGTGCGGTGCGCCCGCGGGCCCGCCGCCACCCTGCGCTCGGCGTCGCCCCAGCATACTTGTGCTGTACGTGCGTCGTCCCCTCCCCCCCCAGGGGCGACGCGCGCACCGAGAACTCTCATAGTATGTGCGTCGTGGTTGGCGTTTTCTGGCCAAACCGCTCGGGAAGCGACATACTACAAGATGGGTATACTATATGTTCGGGTCGGACGCGCGCCTCCAAGGCGGACGTATAGTACTAGTATGTTTCTGCGCGCCCCATGCGCCGCATGCCCGGTTCGAGCGTGGCGCCCTCCTGAACTTGTGGGGGTGCGACGCGCCCGCAGCACGGCCAAACAGTGAGAGCTTGTCAGCACAAGCTTAGCTGACATGTGGAGTAAGCACTGGGGTACCATCATCATCATCATCATCATCATCATCATCATCATCATCATCATCATCATCATCATCATCATCATCATCATCATCATCATCATCATCATCATCATCATCATCATCATCATCATCATCATCATCATCATCATCATCATCATCATCATCATCATCATCATCATCATCATCATCATCATCATCATCATCATCATCATCATCATCATCATCATCATCATCATCCGTAGCCATTTTGGCTCAAGCTGTTTCTCCGGACTTTCGCAGGCGCCCACGCGCAGCGGTCAGCGGCGCGCGACTGGGAGATGAGCAATGGCGACGGGGGGCTGCCCGCAGGCGCGATGGCGGGGCGGCCCACCAGGCGTGGCAGTGCGCTGCGCAGGAAGGAGGAGGCCGAGGTAGGCGCCTCGGCGGCCCACCGACGGGCGCGGGCGCGGCGCCTCCTCGCCGCCACGGCGGCAGTCGGCAAGGCGGCCAGCGGCGGCCCAGGTTCCTGGCAGGACCGGGAGGCTGCTGCGCGCCCCGTCTTGCGCCGAGCCGCCGCGGGACGCCGCGTCCCAGGCGCAATGCGGCGGCGGCGGAACGCCGCGTGGCACGCGCTGCTGGTCCCTGCGGGCGGATTCGCGCGCGCGTCCGTAGCGGGCCTTTCGCGGGCCGCCGCAGGCCCCCGCCTGGGCTGGCTGCCCTCGCTCCCGGAGGCGGCCGCGCTGCCCTTCGGCGACTACGGTGAGTTACCCGACGAGCACTGCCAGGCTCCCGGTGCCATGGACTGCCCAGTGCTGGGCGGCGCTGCCGCCACTGATGGATGGCGGCGCCCCCCCATCGTGAGCTTCGCGAACCAGGTCGTCGCCGTGGCAGTGGACGGCAGCGTCCAGACGGAGCTCCTGGGGGGCGAG